TAGAGCTACGAAATTAGAGCCATCTGAGACAGCGACTCGACACCTGTTTGCACCCATCAAATACCAGTCTATACTGTCACTACTTCTCTCTCCAAACGAAACAAATTCGAAAAATATCGGGTGTATAATTTTAATCCTTCTAATTTACAATTTAGATACATGATTTAACTTTAAAGAAATTATATGTATCTCATGTTTAAAAATGTATTGTAGGTATCTGAGAGAGCGGAAGGTCCGGGCTTCGATCCCCGGCCGCGTCATACCAAAAGACGTTAAAAGATGATACTTGTTGTAACCCTGTCTCGCGCTCGGCATTAAGGGGCTAAAACTGGGACTGGTCGGCTCGGAGTCAGTATACTGTGTCTGAGCGGGGTATTCATGTTAAACTGCGGCATGGTATCTCAGTGAGCTAGGACAATAAATCGGCATCAGTCCGGACAAGTACAAGCAGCCACACACACACATGCACGTCGCTATATAAGTGCAATAATCTTGGACGCGACGTTAAACCCCATTTCACCTCACCTCATTATAATCACGCCATGCACCTGAGACAAAAAAGGAAAGAGGAAGAGCCACACGCATTCACATTTCAAACTATACATTCATAAAAACAGGCCGCGACGTATCTGAGCTATGCCCTTGTTTTGATCAGAACGTGTCTCTATCTGTGTGACCCACTGTCATGGTGTGGACTCCTGAATAGCCGGGTCACTGTGACACGGCACGCCGCACACCTCCACACCGTGCAGATCCATAGGCAATCGACTTACTATGACACTGCCGCTTATCAATGCATTCTGGGATGAGCTGGTCTGCGGAGTAGTAGTTGTTTTGTTGTGGGTAAGTAACACGTTCTTTTACACTGCACAGAAGCGCAGAGAATAGTAGTGGTACTGTAATTGTATGAGGTAAGTATGATAGTTTAACATATATCGCTTTACAGTTATCCTGGTAAGGTGAGCTAAGGTCAAATTAGGTTTAACGTCGCGTCCAAGATATATATATATATAGCTACGTGCATGCACGTGTGTATAGTTCGGACTTATGCCGATATATAGTCCTAGCCCACTTAGATACCTGCCGCAGTTTAACATGAATACCCCACTCAGACACAGTATACTGACTCCGAGCCGACCGGTCCTTGTTTAGCCCCTTAATGCCGAGCGCCAGAGAGGGTAACAAGAAGTAACAACTTTTAACGTCTTTTTGTATGACACACCGGGGATCGAACCCCGGACCTTCCGCACTCCGGGCGGATGCTATACCACTAGACCACGGAAGCTGCATATCCTGGTAAGATTAGCGTGAAAGTGATCATCTGTACATCTATCTGTCACCATTCCCTGTGGGGATCAGAGCAGTAAAGTCCAAGTATACAGTAAACTACGGTTATAACGAACTGAAAGGGACCACAAATCTTAGTTCGTTATAACCGTAGTTCGTTATAAGCATATCTACAGCATAATACAGCAGATAGTCGGGACAAAAAAGTAAGTTCGTTATATCCGTCAGTTCGTTATAAGCGTGTTCGTTATAAACGTAGTTTACTGTCCAATATTTACTGACCAGCTGAGAGGAAGCGAGAAAATAGGCTCGTAAGTTGGCTGACTGCGTGTTATCACAACCTGATGGCGTGGCTCTTCGCTCATGCGATCAGCCAATGATTTCTCTGGTCCAGACTCAGTTATGTAGAGACCGATGTGAAATAGCTGAAATATTGCAGCTTGAGGCGTTAAATAAAATTTTCTCGCTCAACCCAACTGTATCAATATTCCATTGGACTATGTCATTTCCAATATGATACATCGTTTTATTTTGACCTGACTATATTACCAGGCTATGTCATAATTATTGCTTGTTAACCATTTTAGTCGATGTAGAGTAACATCTTTGAAAGTCAGTTTGTTTCCTGCTGTTTGACTGAATCTATTTACGACTTTCCTCATACAGGCAAACACGTCCCGTGAGAGTATTACACTCCATACAACTGAGGTCACTCTGCTGCGCACAATCAACATGAATTATGCATGCTATAGTGAAAAGATGTGTGCCTGTGTCGGTGCAACAACACGTCTCATTGAGTATTTTGAGAAGCGACGCTTTGTCCAAGTTGAAGTGAAGAGGTCTCAGCTCATCATCAACCGCAACGTGTCAGTGAAGAGACTACGGCAGTTTTTTGAAGGACTATCCCGCAGCTACATGCGCTGAATTGTTTCCATGATGGGACAGAGACGAACTGTGTTGATGACATAGCCAGCAACCTACATGTACATATATCACCGACATGTTGCCTCATGTTCAAAATACTGCTACTGATTGTTGAATGATTTGTTTATGACGCTCTACAATCTATTGCATAGCCCACAATCATACAGCGGCGTTAGATAACAAACACACATCATATCATGTTACAACAGTTTGCCATTGACTAACACCTGTCGTGTTGGCTGGCTGCACAATGAGCCGTATTGAAGCCATTGGGAGGTGTAGTCCTGCCCTTTCTTCTTTCGACTTTTATGAAAGGGTCAGCGCGAATGACGTTCAATACTATCAGCTACACCCAATGAACTGATTTTAATCTCTATTCATTTGTGCTTGCAACCCAACGCATGGCCGACACAAGGATTGAGATCCGCCAGGATAGTGGCAACGTGCCTTAAAGCACTTTTCATAATCATGGACCACACAAGGATTGAGATCCGCCAGGATAGAGGCAACGTGCCTCAAAGCACTTTTCATAATCATGGACCACACAGATTTGGGATCCGCCAGGATAGCGGCAACGTGACTTAAAACTCTTTTCATAATCATGGACCACACAAGGATCGGGATCCGCCGGGATAGTGGTAACGTGACTTAAAACTCTTTTTTTATAATCATGGACCACACAAGGATCGAGATCCGCCAGGATAGTGGCAACGTGACTTAAAACTCTTTTTTATAATCATGGACCACACAAGGATCGAGATCCGCCAGGATTGTGGCAACGTGACTTAAAACTCTTTTTTATAATCATGGACCACACAAGGATCGAGATCCGCCAGGATAGTGGCAACGCGACTCTACTGAAATACATGAAATACACAACAAAGGTTACAAATGGACGACATGGCATAGTGTTTCTGTATCACTGAAATCTCATTAAGTTAAATATATCATGACCATATAAAATATGTGACGCCATCCCAAGTTCGAGACATCACTTGTCATGACATCAATCATTAGACATTTTACATGCCGTCGTTGTATTATCAATATGTATTGTAATCAATCCACGATTTCTAAACTCATGTTTACATAGTCCTCCAGTGTGGACCACCGTTTGTTTGTCTGTGGGGATATTCAGTCTGTATAACTAATACTTTACCAATATATGTCCAATCAATAGTGTTTCTGCGGCGCATCATAAACCTGCATGATGTTTAACGTAGAGTGAGTGAGTGAGTATGGTTTTACGCCGCTTTTAGCAATATTCCAGCAATATCACGGCGGGGGACACCAGAAATGGGCTTCACACATTGTACCAATGTCGGTAATCGAACCCGGGTCTTCGGCGTGACGAGCGAACGCTTTAACCACTAGGCTAGCCGACCGCCCCTGTTTAACGTAGAAAAGAACGACAACTTGTTGTTCAACATAATGACTGCAGTACTGTTTCAGCGGCTAGGACCAGACACCACATTTGCAACCCTTGACACGGGACAGTGGGAATCATGAAGACATATCTTCTTAACTATATTGTGTTGGTACATGTAAATGGTATGATGGTATCTGCTGGGGAGAAGGCGGGCACATCTACTGGGATGAAATGGTTGGTGTGATGAAATGGTGGTGCACTAGTTCGTGAAGATTATTTTACAGCCTTCACCAATATCTGATAAAACCTCTTTTGGCCAGACATGCACGAATGCGTCGAGGCAAGCTGCTGATAAGCCGACCAATGTCAGCTTGACTCATGTTGTTCCACTCATCAGTGAGAGCACCACCGAGTTCATTGTGTGGTGTTTGGAATTTGACGCTGCCGTACACGTCTGCCAATGACGTCCGTGGCGTGTTCAATGTGGTAGAGGTCAGGACTGAATGCTGGCATTGAGTGACATGAATACTTTGCTGTTGGAAGAGTCGGGTCACAACCATGGTGAGGTGAGGTGACATGGGGTTTAACGTCGCGTCCAAGATTATTGCACTTATACAGCGACGTGTATGCACGTGTGTGGCTGCTTGTACTAGTCCGGACTGATGCCGATTTATAGTGCTAGCACACTGAGATACCATGCCGCAGTTTAACATGAATCCCAACTCAGACACAGTATACTGACTCCGAGCCGACCAGTCCTTGTCAAGCCCCTTAATGCCGAGCGCCAGACAGGGTAACAACAAGTACCATCTTTTAACGTCTTTTTGTATGACGCGGTCGGGGATCGGACCCCGGACCTTCCGCTCTCCGGGCGGACGCTCTACCACGAGACCACGGAGGCGGTCGACACAACCATGAGGACGTGCATTATCATCACGTTGTGCAAATGGAACCATGCAATAGCCCGATAGCATTGACCTGTGACTCTACCACGGACAATTTGGCCAGTCATTGTGATACCACCCCATACCATTATGACCTCACCGCCTCCTCGGTCTAATGGCAGAGCGTCCGCGCGGAGAGCGGAAGGTCTTGGGGTTCGAACCTCGACCGCGTCATGCCAAAAGACGTTAAAAGATGGTACTTGTTGTGACCCTGTCTGGCGCTCGGTATTAAGCTGCTAAAACAAGGACCGGTCGGCTCGGAGTCAGTATACTGTGTCTGAGTGACCAGTCCTTGTTTTAGCCCCTTAATGCCGAGCGCCAGACAGGGTCACAACAAGTACCACATTTTAAGGTCTTTTGGTATGACGCGGCCAGGGATCGAACCCGGACCTTCTGCTCTCCGGGCGGACGCTTTACCACAAGACCACGGCCGTGTTTTTTATATTATAAAAAGCAACATAAAACACAACAGCAAATTCAGTTTGCAGTGCACATGTATTTCGTCGTCAGATATAATTCATTATTTTCCTCGAGCTTTACATCCCCAGCAGAACACGCACCACGAGCCCCATCTCTTACTCTTTGACAGCCTCTTGACAGCTGGAGAAATGAGACAGAATACATTTTTTTGTGTTAGTATAAATAATATTCACAACTTTAAACACGTTCACGAATGCCTATTGACAGTATACCTCACAGAGAACGAAAATTCGATGAGCACAATGCATTCCACGGTCAGTCCTATGAGATCAAATTGTATATTGTATATTGTCTTCTATATAACTTCCGGTTGAATGCATGTCACCGTATCACAATTGCGTGGATCGATGCTCACGATGTCAATCATTGGATTGTCTGGTCCAGACAAGATTATTTACAGACCGTGGCCACAAAGCTGGAATATTGCCGAGTGCGCCGTTAAACAACAAACAAACAAACAAAACATACTTCCGGGTGAAACTATGTACCTACCTTTTCCCTGCCTAGTTAATCTGGGCACATCTGAAATGATAGCTGGTGTTTATTTGTGTTCAACATTTGCACACTGTACAAACAAACAAACACAGCAATGGCTGAGTGAGTGAGTTGGGTTTAATGCCCCTTTTAACAGTATTCCAGTTATATCACGGCATGTCAGCTTAATGTGGGAGGAAAGCCCGAAGTGATGAAGGGCTCAGACGTTTACCACTTCGCCGAAACCCACGAGCACGGGTATGGTGCTGACAAACCTAGAAACATAATTGGGGCGAACCGAGATTCGAACCCACAATCATAGGATTCTGGCGAACCCACGGGACGCAACTTTGCACAGCGATTCGCGGCGCCTTTGACGACTGGGCCCCCCTACTCCCCACAGTGCAATGAACCAGGGATTATCAGAGTTAGTCTACTGAAAATAATGAAACGTCTTCTTAAAGAGATACAGTAAACTACGCTTATAACGAACTTAAAGGGACTGCTAATTTCAGTTCGTTATAACCGTAGTTCGTTATAACCGTAGTTCGTTATAACCGTAGTTAGTTATTACCGTAGTTCGTTATAAGCATATATACAGCATAAGTACAGCAAATAATCGGGACAAAAAAAGTAAGTTTGTTACATCCGTCAGTTCGTTATAAGCGTGTTCGTTATAACCGTAGTTTACTGTATGTAAATATTCTTTGACGATATAGGATGCATGATGCACAATGGTACATGGATATCAACATCTACGGTAAACCGTCTCAGCCAAATAAACGTGTGCCCCTGCTAGATCAGAATAGACCATGTATATGTGTTAGAAACAAACCGTTTTCATTTGAACATTGATCTGAAAACTGGCTACCTTCAGCAGCCCGAACGACTTTGCCATCCCTGAGGACATGCACTTTGCAACCGTTACAGAAGTTAGCGATCCTTTTTCCCACTTTCTCCTCAACTTCGCCAGAAGGTAACGGTGTATCGGGGACGATCCATTCCTCCGTAGCTTGAGCCTTTGGTGCTGTTTCTCCCTGCAGGAGTATATAGGAGAGGATAAATATGGGATAAACAAAATGATATCAGTCACTATGCAATTTAAGCCCAAACATGATATACTACTCAAGAATAGTGAAGGATCATCAGTAAATTAACACAGCTATGTCATGAATTCGCATCATCACAACCTGTTCAATGTATCGTTGACATTTTGAACAGATCAATATGTGGATCAGTTCAATATCAGGTTTTATTTAAGCGTACATGTACGAGAATGTTTTTGTTGATACGAGAGGAGTTCACGACCATACACTCAGCAACTGCCGGGGTCATTCAGTGCATCGTAACTTGATAGAATGTTGGAAATTCCGCGGTATTGACTCTCGGTGATTTGCGAGTGTGCGTTTTTTGAATTGATGTAATTGTGACCAGTAACTTGCATTATTTGATTAGCCCAGATGCCCTTACTAGAAAGTGACTCGTGTTTTCGTGCACTATTGTTACTGATGCGTTTGTCAGAGAACAAATTGGCTTTTGAAACCATGGTTTATATCGACAAAGCTTCTCCATATTTTGGACACCTTCTGGTGTTCGTTGCCAGATAAATCGGATTGTCATGTAAGACAAATTGCTTACTCACAAGTCTCGGCACAGCTTGCACACAGTGCCCGGGCAACTTACGAGGGACCCGTGAAGATCCGGGGTAGAATAGGTCTTCAGCAACCCATGCTTGCCGCAAAAGGCGACTATGGTTGTCTTAAGAGGCGACTAACGGGATCGGGTGATCAGGCTCGCTGACTTGGTTGATGCATGTCATCGATCCCAATTGCGTGGATCGATGCTCATGATATTAATCACTGGATTGTCTGGTCCAGACTCGATTAGTTACAAACCGCCGTCATAAAGCTGGAATATTGCTGAGTATGGCGTTAAACAACAAACCAACTAACCAACATTCGACATCACCTGGTTGGGCCTGGGCTCTAGGCGTGACAGCACCAACAACCGGGGGTCGACACCGGTTCAAGATTTTTTGTTTGCCATCCCACATACTCAAGATAATCATGATTCTCGGAATCGCGTTTCACCATGCCTTCCCCCTAAGTCATCATTCTATGTGGAGTATTTGACCTCAAACCGGAAATTGTGGTGTTGTTTACCATAACGTATCGATAGGGGTTCCGAGTTAGCCTTCATATTTTAGTTGTTGTATTTCATCGTCAGTGATAGCAAAATCTATGAGGTTCCCCTGTTTCTTTAAGGATTTGGTTTTAGACTTAATGACCGCCTCCGTGGTCTAGTGGAAGAGCGTCCGCCGGGAGAGCGGAAGATCCGGGGTTCGATTCCCGGCCGCGTCATACCAAAAGACGTTAAAAGATGGCACTGGCGCTCGGCATGAAGGGGCTGAAAAGGACTGGTCGGCTTGGAGTCAGTATACTGTGTCTGAGTGTGGTATTCATGTTAAACTGAGGCATGGTATCTCAGTGAGCTAGCACTATGAATTGGCATTAGTCCGGACCTGTACAAGCAGCCACACACACACACACATATACGGATACGTGCATGCACGTCGCCATATAAATGCAATAATCTTGGACGCGACGTTGAACCCCATTTCACCTTTAGACTTAATGACATCCCTTAATTTAGAAAATTCTGTGGAATCTGAAAGAGAAAAGCCATAGTTTTTCCGCTTCAAATGTCGCTCCAAACCTCCCTGAGCTTGTCAGACCCATATTATTGCATAACATCATCAGTTCAAACGGAGGGATGTTTTATGCTGGGCGTTGCTAATTCAGTTTATCAACTTTCATGTTTAATTGTGTTGACATTTACGTTATCCTCAAAGAATTTGTCAATATCAATTGTCATGGCTTGTTTCGAAACATATAGTGTCATGAATGTTGCCATGTTTGTTTACGTCCCATGTAGTACTACGAGGTAGCAGACCAGTCTTAAAGGAAAATTGGTTTCTTTAAACTCCTATCGATTTATAAGTTTGTTATATGCCATAAGCGTTGGAAACATGTGTAAATGATTATCCTAATTGGGAAAAAATAATATATATTGAGCAAACTTTTGGGTGTTGTAAATATGAAAGCCTCGTGTGTGTGTGTGATTTGGAAAAAAGATGACTGAATTTATCAACGAATGAGCAAAGAAGTTCCGGCAACCAATCAAATGACGGCATTTCTGAACAGCCAATCAGATGCAAACGAAACTGTTACCTCCCTTGGACGCACCAACCCGCATCTCTCTTCCCGTATGGGAAACAAATATTTAAATCAGCGGAAACATTACATTTACATTTTACATTTACTTTTACGTTTACATTTATATTTACATTGAAAGACGCTTTAGATAAAAAGGATATGATACATGGGTTAGATAAATGTTATTCAGTATCATAACGTGGCAGTCACAATATTTCAGTTCTATCGCGTCGTCTCACCTTGATGCATGAGAAAACTCGAAGCCATGCAAGTCCTACACATTTGAACCTCTTTGATGAAACCCATGAGCACTGATTTGGTGGTGACAAGCCTAGAGTGAGTGAGTGAGTTGGGTTTAACGCCGCTTTTAACAGTATTCCAGTTATATCGCGGCTTGTCAGCTTAATGTGGGAGGAAAGCCCGAAGTGATGCAGCTCTCAGACGTTTACTACTTCGTTGAAACCCACGAGCACGGGTATGGTGCTGACAAACCTAGAAACATAATCGGGGCGAACCGGGATTCGAACCCACGATCATAGGTTTCCGGCGTGCCCAAGGGACGCAACTCTGCACAGCGATTCGCGGCGCCTTTGACGACTGGGCCCCCCTACTCCCCACAGTGCAATGAACCAGGGATTATCAGAGTTAGTCTACTGAAAATAATGAAACGTCTTCTTAAAGAGATACAGTAAACTACGCTTATAACGAACTTAAAGGGACGCAACTCTGCAAAGCGAATCGCGGCGCCTAAGACGACTGGGCCACCCGTGCCCCCGACAATCCTAGAAATAGTATCAGGGCGAATATGCAATGGTATAAAATACCGCACAACACATGTTGTATTAGTTATCAATATAATATACCTTTTTGATACGATCTACGACCTTCTTTATGTCTTCGTATGTCTCGTCAGATGGTTTGACAAAACACGTGTTCTTTTTCTCGATCTTCATAGCCACCAAGCCCTGCAAACATACAGTGAAAGAAACATTTCAGTTGGTTATCTCAAATAGTGATTACCGTCTCTGAATTTCAAATTGGTTAATTTTATCTTAGTTACAAGTTGTTAAATGATCTGTTTCAATTCATATTCATTCTCATAATAACCAAGATTGTATTACATTCCTTACCCATCATACGTCCCGAGAGTAACAGATGGGAAATAAGGTGAGGTGAGGTGAAATGGGGTTTAACGTCGCGTCCAAGATTATTGCACTTATATAGCGACGTGCATGCACGTGTTTGCGTGGCTGCTTGTACTAGTCCGGACTGATGCCGATTTATAGCGCTAGCTCACTGAGATACCATGCCTCAGTTTAACATGAATACCCCACTCAGACACAGTATACTAACTCCGAGCTGACCAGTCCTTGTTTTAGCCCCTTAATGCCGAGCGCCAGACAGGGTAACAACAAGTACCATCTTTTAACGTCTTTTGGTATGACGCGGCCGGGGATCGAACCCCGGACTTTCCGCTCTCCGGGCGGACGCTCTACCACTAGACCACGGAGGCGTTCAGATGGGAAAGTATAGCGGCTATTATTCATGTCATTACACACATCAACCGGAATAGATATATGTCATTTACCTTTGTAAAGTCGTGGTAGTTGATCGACTTTTTGTAGCAGTCTTGAGGAGGATCAGGAGTTCCTGGGTAGGTTATCATACTCTTGTCGTGCAGTTCGATGTCCATGGGGACAACTTCATCACCGGCCGTCACGGATCCTTGGGCATACTAGGATATAACACAAAGTGTTCTGAACATGACAGCATATAACACACAGTGTCCTGAACATGTCAGGATATAACACACAGTGTCCTGAACATGTCAGGATATAACACACAGTGTCCTGAACATGTCAGGATATAACACACAGTGCCCTGAACATGTCAGGATATAACACACAGTGTCCTGAACATGCAAGGATATAAGGCACAGTGTCCTGAAGATACTGGGATATATCACACAGTGTCCTGAACATGCCAGGATATAATGCACAGTGTCCTGAACATGCAAGGATATAATGCACAGTGTCCTGAACATGTCAGGATATAACACACAGTGTCCTGAACATGTCAGGATATAACACACAGTGTCCTGAACATGCTACCATATAACACACAGTGTCCTGAACATGCAAGGATATAAGGCACAGTGTCCTGAACATACTGGGATATAACACACAGTGTCCTGAACATGCCAGGATATAATGCACAGTGTCCTGAACATGTCAGGATGAAATACACAGTGTCCTGAACATACTAGGATATAACATACAGTGTCCTGAACATGCAATGATATAAGGCACAGTGTCCTGAATATGACAGGATATAACATACAGTGTCCTGAACATGCTACCATATAACACAAAGTGTCCTGAACATGCAAGGATATAATGCACAGTGTCCTGAACATGTCAGGATGAAATGCACAGTGTCCTGAGCATACTAGGATATAACATACAGTGTCCTGAACATGCAATGATATAAGGCACAGTGTCCTGAATATGACAGGATATAACATACAGTGTCCTGAACATGCTACCATATAACACAAAGTGTCCTGAACATGTCAGGATATAATGCACAGTGTCTTGAACATACTGGGATATAACACACAGTGTCCCGAACATGCCAGGATATAACACACAGTGTCCTGAACATGTCAGGATATAACACACAGTGTCCTGAACATGCTACCATATAACACACAGTGTCCTGAACATGCTAGGATATAACACACGGTGTCCTGAACATGTCAGGATATAACGCATGGTGTCCTGAACATGTCAGGATAAAATGCACAGTGTCCTGAACATGCCAGGATATAACGCACAGTGCCCTGAACATACTTTAGGATATGATGCACAGTGTCCTGAACATGTCAGGATTTAATGCACAGTGTCCTGAGCATGCTAGGATATAACACACGGTGTCCTGAACATGCAAGGATATAACGCACAGTGCCCTGAACATACTATAGGATATGATGCACAGTGTCCTGAACAGGCTAAAACTGTTCTAGGCTATAATGTAGTCTCCTCAATAAACTAGGAAATGATGCACAGTGTCCTGAACAGGCTAAAACTGTTCTAGGCTATAATGTAGTCTCCTCAATAAACTAGGAAATGATGCACAGTGTCCTGAACAGGCTAAAACTGTTCTAGGCTATAATGTAGTCTCCTCAATAAACTAGGAAATGATGCACAGTGTCCTGAACAGGCTAAAACTGTTCTAGGCTATAATGTAGTCTCCTCAATAAACTAGGAAATGATGCACAGTGTCCTGAACAGGCTAAAACTGTTCTAGGCTATAATGTAGTCTCCTCAATAAACTAGGAAATGATGCACAGTGTCCTGAACAGGCTAAAACTGTTCTAGGCTATAATGTAGTCTCCTCAAAAAACTAGGAAATGATGCACAGTGTCCTGAACAGGCTAAAACTGTTCTAGGCTATAATGTAGTCTCCTCAATAAACTAGGAAATGATGCACAGTGTCCTGAACAGGCTAAAACTGTTCTAGGCTATAATGTAGTCTCCTCAATAAACTAGGAAATGATGCACAGTGTCCTGAACAGGCTAAAACTGTTCTAGGCTATAATGTAGTCTCCTCAATAAACTAGGAAATGGTGCACAGTGTCCTGAACAGGCTAAAACTGTTCTAGGCTATAATGTAGTCTCCTCAATAAACTAGGAAATGGTGTACAGTGTCCTGAACAAACAGTTCTTTGGACATCCTGGGCTATAACACACAGAATGAAATATAATTCATTTGGCGCGTTTTATCCACTTAATTTATATCAGTGCTCTAGGGGAGGTAATCCCATGTCCAACTCTTATCACAGCTTAAGGTAAGGGACAAAACTCTAAATCCACAAACGTTAGTGGGTGATCTGCTTTGGAAATCTAGCTGAATGCACGCTTTTCAAAAGAGTTCTATCATGTGATCAGGCACAAAACAATCGCCAATATGCTGGTGTTCCAGTTAGACAAGGTGAGGTAGCGGATGTACAGCACAAATAGGTCCAAATGTCCAGGACACGGATTATTCCAAGTGAAAGAGCATGGACTGAACTTGGCTGGAGACCATTAAGTGCCACACAACGCATATTCATTCATTAACAGCACTTCAAACGACTGGCTCAAAATGCAGAAGCACAACCCACGCTAGTACCGGACATGGCTTTGGGTGAGTTTGGATGAACGGAACAACCGTTGTTGAGTTTGTCATAGGCTGAGAATATTCAGAGAACATTCCAGACAATTCGTGTTTAAAAAGCTTTGTGTTTAAGAATCAATTAGGGGAGGTTTGGTCAGTATCTCTACGTACAGTGGCGTGAATACGCTTGGCTATAACGTACAGTGACGTGAACACGCTGGGCTATAACGTACAGTGGTGTGAACAAGCTGGGCTATAATGTACAGTGGCGTGAACAAGCTGGGCTATAACGTACAGTGGTGTGAACAAGCTGGGCTATAACGTACAGGGCGTGAACAAGCTGGGTTATAACGTAAGTGGCGTGAACACGCTGGGCTATAAAGTACAGGGCGTGAAGACGCTTGACTATAACGTACAGTGGCGTGAACAAGCAGGGCTATAACGTACAGGGCGTGAACAAACTGGGCTATAAAGTACAGGGCGTGAACAAGCAGGGCTATAGCGTACAGGGCGTGAACAACCTGGACTATAACGTACAGTGGCGTGAACAAGCTGGACTATAACGTACAAGGCCTGGACAAGCTGGGCTATAGCGTACAGGGCGTGAACAAGCTGGGCTATAACGTACAGTGCCGTGAACAAGCTGGGAGATAACGTACAGTGCCTTGAACAAGCTGGGCTATAACGTACAGTGGCGCGAACAAGCTGGGAGATAACGTACAGTGGCGTGAACAAGCAGGGCTATAACGTACAGTGGCGTGAACAAGCTGGGCTATAACGTACAGTGGCGCCAACAAGCTGGGCTATAACGTACATTAGCGTGAACAAGCTGGGCTATAACGTTCGGTGACGTGAACACGCTGGGGTATAACGTACAGGGCGTGAACAAGCTGGGCTATAACGTACAGTGGCATGAACAGGCTGGGTTATAACGTACAGTGGCGTGAACAAGCTGGGCTATAACGTACAGTGGCGTGAACAAGCTGGGCTATAACGTACAGAGCGTGAAGACGCTGGGCTATAACTTACAGTGGCGCGAACAAGCTGGGCTATAACGTACAGGGTGTGAACAAACTGGGCTATAAAGTACAGGGCGTGAACAAGCAGGGCTATAACGTACCGGGTATGAACAACCTGGACTATAACGTACAGTGGCGTGAACAAGCTGGGCTATAACGTACAGTGGCGTGAACAAGCTCGGCTATAACGTACAGTGGCGTGAACAAGCTGGGCTATAACGTACAGTAGCGTGAACAAGCTCGGCTATAACGTACAGGGCGTGAACAAGCTGGGCTATAACGTACAGTGGCGTGAACAAGCTGGGCTATGACGTACAGGGCGTGAAGACGCTAGGCTATAACGTACAGTTACGTGAAAATACTGGGAAACAAGAAACTTTAGTGAATGTACTGACGTATATCATATATTGTTGTTAACATATTTGGCTGTAACACACTGGACTAAACATACTGGGCTATAATATACAGTTCAATGGACCTTCTGGGGTACAATATACAGTGCAGTAAACAAACTGGGTTATGTCATACATTTGCGTGAACATGTTGGGCTCTAATATAGAGTACAGCACACATACTGGACTATGTTATACATTAGATCGAACATAGGGCTTTTCCCCACACGGGTATAATGTGTGAAGCCCATTTCCCGGTGTCCCCCGCTGTGATATTGCTGGAATAATGCTAAAAGCTGCGTAAAACTATACTCACCCACCCACTCATCACATACTGGGCTGTGATATACAGTGTCATCAATAAACTGACCTATTATGTACAGTACAATGTGCCTCCTAGGGTATAACATATAGTGCCGTGAACATATGGGCTATAATATACAGTGTCCTAAAAAAACTGACCTATTATGTACAGTACAATGTGCCTCCTGGGGTATAACATATAGTGCCGTGAACATATGGGCTATAATATACAGTGTCCTAAAAAAACTGACCTATTATGTACAGTACAATGTGCCTCCTGGGGTATAACATATAGTGCCGTGAACATATTGGGCTATAATATACAGTGCAATGGACCTACCAGGATATAACATTCAGTGAAACTGCTGGGGTCTAGTGGGGCATAACATATCGTGCCTTGAACATACAGGGTTATAACATACATGGTTATAACACATAGGGTTATAACACAGGCTTATAACACATAGGGTTATAACACACAGGTACGTGAACATGCTGGCCTATATTATACAGTGCATTGGACATATTGGGGTATATCATACAGTTGTGTGAAGATACGGGGGCTAATCTGGTATAACATCCAGTGTCATGAACCTTGTTGGCCAGAACATACAGATTCGTGAATATACTGGAGTATAACATACTTTGTAGTGAACATACTACGCTTTAACATTCACAGTCGTTAACAAACTTGAATAGTACATAATTTGTATTGATAATAGGTGGCTACACTTTACAGTGTCATTCGCACCCTGAGCCATTACATACAGTGTCAAAAATATTCAGGGCTATAGATGTAACATACAGTGTCATCGACACACTGAGCCATTACAGACAGTGTCAAAATATTCAGGGCTATACATGTAACATACACTGTCATCAACACTGAGCCATTACATACAGTGTCAAAATATTCAGGGCTGTACATGTAACACACAGTGTCATTCACACACTCGCCATTACATACAGTGTCAAAATATTCAGGGCTATACATGTAACATACAGTGTCATCGACACACTGAGCCATTACATACAGTGTCAAAATACTCAGGGTTATACATGTAACATACAGTGTCATCGACACACTGAGCCATTACATACAGTGTCAAAATATTCAGGGTTATACACGTTAAGTACAGTGTCATCGACACACTGAGCCATTACATACAGTGTTAAAATATTCAGGGTTATACACGTTAAGTACAGTGTCATCGACACACTGAGCCAATACATACAGTGTCAAAATATTCAGGGTTATACACGTAAAGTACAGTGCCATGAACATACTGGACTTTATTACCCGTAGGGCTGGACATACCGAGTTCGTATAAATCGTATGTGTACACCTGCACATATCAGTTCATGCACAGGACGGGAGGATGGAATGACGTAACACCAGAAACGACGTCATGGCTGAAGATGTTTTGTGGGTTTTCTAACACGACGGTCGTGATCAGGTTATTTTTTCCAAAGGGGAGCTCAAAAGTATTTAGAAATAATGGGCTATACAGAACGTATTGTTATCGCTTTAAGAATTCTGACACTCACCAGGTACAATCGGTATGACACACATAATAATCTCTATAAAACGTACAGTTTCATGTACTACGGGGCCATAACATATAGAGTCATGGAATACTTGGGTATAACATACAGTGTCTATGGATACTGGGGTATAACATACATTGTCATGGAATACAAGGCTATAACATACAGAGTCATGGAATACTTGGCTATAAGAATACAGTGCCATGAACATTCTGGGCAAAACACATGGCATCAGGAACATTCTGGGCAAAACATATGGCATCAGGAACTTTCTGAGCAAAACATATGGCATCATGAACATTCTGGGCAAAACACATGGCATCATTAAGTTTCTGGGCAAAACATATGGCATCATGAACTTTCTGGGCAAAACACATGGCATCATGAACTTTCTGAGCAAAATACATGGCATCATGAACTTTCTGGGCTATATAATGAAGATGTCATGGAATACTGGAGTATGATCCACACTATTATCACAGTAAAATTAGAGGCAGGTTCTCACCTCTGTTGCTCCGGTTCCGTGTAGAAACAGGATGACGAGGGCGACAGCAAACATGGCGACTTGCAGGTGTCTGAGGAAATAATATGCATATGTCATTCCTATATTCTTAAAATAGGAAGTGTACATTAAACAACAACATAGTTTTCAGATAATAAGGTAATTGTTGTATTTGTTGTTTGTTTGATTTGATCAGTTATCATTTATTAAGTGACAGAGGGACACCACACAGCACCATTTGACCCTGTCATTTACTTTATGAGTAACAGAGGGACACCACATGGCATCATCTGATCCTGTCATGTACTTTGTGAGTAACAGAGGGACACCACATAGCACCATCTGATCCTGTCATTTACTTTATGAGGAACAGAGGGACACCACATGGCATCATCTGATCCTGTCATTTACATTGTGAGTAACAGAGGGACACCACATAGCACCATCTGATCCTGTCATTTACTTTATGAGTAACAGAGGGATCCCACATGACATCATCTGATCCTGTCATGTACTTTGTGAGTAACAGAGGGACACCACATAGCACCATCTGATCCTGTCATTTACATTGTGAGTAACAGAGGGACACCACACAGTACCATCTGACCCTGTCATTTACTTTGTGAGTAACAGAGGGACACCACATAGCTCTGTCTGATCCTGTCATGTACTTTGTGAGTAACAGAGGGACACCACATAGCACCATCTGACCCTGTCATTTACATTGTGAGTAACAGAGGGACACCACACAGCACCATTTGACCCTGTCATTTACATTGTGAGTAACAGAGGGACACCACATGGCATCATCTGATCCTGTCATTTACATTGTGAGTAACAGAGGGACACCACATGGCATCATCTGATCCTGTCATTTACATTGTGAGTAACAGAGGGACACCACATGGCATCATCTGATCCTGTCATTTACATTGTGAGTAACAGAGGGACACCACATGGCATCATCTGATCCTGTCATGTACTTTGTGAGTAACAGAGGGACACCACATAGCACCATCTGACCCTGTCATGTACTTTGTGAGTAACAGAGGGACACCACATTGCATCATCTGATCCTGTCATTTACATTGTGAGTAACAGAGGGACACCACATGGCATCATCTGATCCTGTCATTTACATTGTGAGTAACAGAGGGACACCACATAGCACCATCTGATCCTGTCATTTACTTTGTGAGTAACAGAGGGACACCACATTGCACCATCTGATCCTGTCATTTACATTGTGAGTAACAGAGGGACACCACATGGCATCATCTGATCCTGTCATTTACATTGTGAGTAACAGAGGGACACCACATAGCACCATCTGATCCTGCCATTTACTTAGTGAGTAACAGAGGGACACCATATAACACCATCTGATCCTGTCATGTACATTGTGAGTAACAGAGGGACACCACATTGCATCATCTGATCCTGTCATTTACATTGTGAGTAACAGAGGGACACCACATGGCATCATCTGATCCTGTCATTTACTTTATGAGTAACAGAGGGACACCACACACCACCATCTGATCCTGTCATGTACTTTGTGAGTAACAGAGGGACACCACATAGCACCATCTGACCCTGTCATTTACTTTGTGAGTAATAGAGGGACACCACATAGCACCAAGTGACCCTGTCATGTACTTTGTGAGTAACAGAGGGACACCACATAGCACCATCTGACCCTGCCATTTACTTTGTGAGTAACAGAGGGACACCACATAGCACCATCTGACCCTGTCATGTACTTTGTGAGTAACAGAGGGACACCACATAGCTCTGTCTGATCCTGTCATTTACTTTGTGAGTAACAGAGGGACACCACATATCACCATCTGATCCTGCCATTTACTTTGTGAGTAACAGAGGGACACCACATAGCACCATCTGACCCTGTCATGTACTTTGTGAGTAACAGAGGGACACCACATAGCTCTGTCTGATCCTGTCATTTTCTTTGTGAGTAACAGAGGGACACCACATAGCACTATCTGATCCTGCCATTTACTTTGTGAGTAACAGAGGGACACCACATAGCACCATCTGACCCTGTCATGTACTTTGTGAGTAACAGAGGGACACCATATGGCACCATCTGACCCTGTCATGTACTTTGTGAGTAACAGAGGGACACCACATGGCATCATCTGATCCTGTCATGTACATTGTGAGTAACAGAGGGACACCACATGGCATCATCTGATCCTGTCATTTACATTGTGAGTAACAGAGGGACACCACATGGCACCATCTGACCCTGTCATGTACTTTGTGAGTAACAGAGGGACACCACATGGCATCATCTGATCCTGTCATTTACATTGTGAGTAACAGAGGGACACCACATGGCATCATCTGATCCTGTCATTTACATTATGAGTAACAGAGGGACACCACATAGCACCATCTGATCCTGTCATTTACTTTGTGAGTAACAGAGGGACACCACATTGCACCATCTGATCCTGTCATTTACATTGTGAGTAACAGAGGTCCACCACATGGCATCATCTGATCCTGTCATTTACATTGTGAGTAACAGAGGGACACCACATAGCACCATCTGATCCTGCCATTTACTTAGTGAGTAACAGAGGGACACCATATAACACCATCTGATCCTGTCATGTACATTGTGAGTAACAGAGGGACACCACATTGCATCATCTGATCCTGTCATTTACATTATGAGTAACAGAGGGACACCACACAGCATCATCTGATCCTGTCATTTACTTTGTGAGTAACAGAGGGACACCACACAGCACCATCTGATCCTGTCATTTACTTTGTGAGTAACAGAGGGACACCACATAGCACCATCTGACCCTGTCATGTACTTTGTGAGTAACAGAGGGACACCACATAGCACCATCTGACCCTGTCATGTACTTTGTGAGTAACAGAGGGACACCACATAGCACCATCTGACCCTGCCATTTACTTTGTGAGTAACAGAGGGACACCACATAGCACCATCTGACCCTGTCATGTACTTTGTGAGTAACAGAGGGAAACCACATAGCTCTGTCTGATCCTGTCATTTACTTTGTGAGTAACAGAGGGACACCACATAGCACCATCTGATCCTGCCATTTACTTTGTGAGTAACAGAGGGACACCACATAGCACCATCTGACCCTGTCATGTACTTTGTGAGTAACAGAGGGACACCACATAGCTCTGTCTGATCCTGTCATTTACTTTGTGAGTAACAGAGGGACACCACATAGCACTATCTGATCCTGCCATTTACTTTGTGAGTAACAGAGGGACACCACATAGCACCATCTGACCCTGTCATGTACTTTGTGAGTAACAGAGGGACACCACATGGCACCATCTGACCCTGTCATGTACTTTGTGAGTAACAGAGGGACACCACATGGCATCATCTGATCCTGTCATTTACATTGTGAGTAACAGAGGGACACCACATGGCATCATCTGATCCTGTCATTTACATTGTGAGTAACAGAGGGACACCACATGGCACCATCTGATCCTGTCATGGACTTTGTGAGTAACAGAGGGACACCACATAGCACCATCTGACCCTGTCATGTACATTGTGAGTAACAGAGGGACACCACACAGTACCATTTGACCCTGTCATGTACATTGTGAGTAACAGAGGGACACCACACAGCACCATTTGACCCTGTCATGTACATTGTGAGTAACAGAGGGACACCACACAGTACCATTTGACCCTGTCATTTACTTTATGAGTAACAGAGGGACACCACACAGTACCATTTGATCCTGTCATTTACATTGTGAGTAACAGAGGGACACCACATAACACCATCTGATCCTATCATTTACCTAGTGAGTAACAGAGGGACACCACACAGCATCATCTGATCCTGTCATTTACTTTGTGAGTAACAGAGGGACACCACATGGCACCATTTGACCCTGTCATTTACTTTATGAGTAACAGAGGGACACCACACAGCACCATCTGATCCTGTCATTTACTTTGTGAGTAACAGAGGGACACCACATGGCACCATTTGACCCTGTCATTTACTTTATGAGTAACAGAGGGACACCACACAGCATCATCTGATCCTGTCATTTACATTGTGAGTAACAGAGGGACACCACATAGCACCACCTGATCCTGTCATTTACTTTGTGAGTAACAGAGGGACATCACATAGCACCACCTGATCCTGTCATTTACTTTGTGAGTAACAGAGGGACACCACATAGCACCACCTGACCCTGTCATTTACTTTGTGTGTAACAGAGGGACATCACATAGCACCACCTGATCCTGTCATTTACTTTGTGAGTAACAGAGGGACATCACATAGCACCACCTGATCCTGTCATTTACTTTGTGAGTAACAGAGGGACACCACATAGCACCACCTGATCCTGTCATTTACTTTGTGAGTAACAGAGGGACACCACATGGCATCATCTGATCCTGTCATTTACTTTGTGAGTAACAGAGGGACACCACATGGCATCATCTGACCCTGTCATTTACTTTATGAGTAATAGAGGGACACCACATAGCTCTGTCTGATCCTGTCATTTACTTTGTGAGTAAAAGAGGGACACCACATGGCATCATCTGATCCTGTCATTTACATTGTGAGTAACAAAGGGACACCACATAGGACCATCTGATCCTGTCATTTACATTGTGAGTAACAGAAGGACACCACACAGCACCATTTGACCCTGTCATTTACTTTATGAGTAATAGAGGGACACCACATAGCTCTGTCTGATCCTGTCATTTACTTTGTGAGTAAAAGAGGGACACCACATGGCATCATCTGATCCTGTCATTTACATTGTGAGTAACAAAGGGACACCACATAGGACCATTTGACCCTGTCATTTACTTTGTGAGTAACAGAGGGACACCACATAGCACCACCTGATCCTGTCATGTACTTTGTGTGTAACAGAGGGACACCACACAGCTCCATTTGACCCCGATATTTAGTTTCTGAGTGACGGAGCTACAACACACCTTGTTTTACAAAATGAGCCGAGCCTGGGTTTTTGTCGCGACGAGCCAACGCTTAAACTACTGGTCCCCAACAGCTTACCTAAGAGTTGCCTGAGAGTACTTAGCGAGTTAATATCCTGGGTTAGGAATGGCCATTAGCAATATTTCTTGGATATCACAGATACAGATCTGGATGTTAATCTAGTTGGACAAAACTCTCAACGTCGGTCTGTAGTTTCAAACCCAATAACAGCGGAACAAAAGTTCCCCTATTCGTTGTGTCACATAGCGGACATTTACATATAGAACATATACGGCAAATGGTGGCAGAAATATTTACCTAGACTTGATAGTTCAGCGATCCACACCGTTGGAGCTTCTGTCCTACCGAGTTCCTTGCCAGCTTATATAACAAAGCTCCACGTGTTCTCACCTCACTGTTCAAATGTACGCTTCAGAGGATTATGTATTTCATAAACAAATACAATCATGTAAAGGCACTTATCCTCATAAATCTTCACAGAAAAGCAGCATTCGCAACGTTATCTGATACGTTCACTGCATTTTTCTGACAGCTTAGGGATGTAGCTAAATTTATTATACGTTTGTGTTGCGTGTTTCAAATACTGTCATCCAATCAGAAAGAGAGGCTATATAACCCACAGGTCAGTGGTTTGACCTCTTGGGAATTACTTTCAGATTCACAGATGCAATTTCAAATTTACAGTTTAAGCAACGCACCATGAAGTGAGAAGATTACTTTTGGGGAATCGTTATGTATTTCCAGGGAATGGTAGTAACAACGCTTAGCAGAATCTGATCACGTGCTTGTCCGGGCCCGAGTTCTGATGATGAAGCATTCAGGTGACAGTTGTGACTTTAGGCTGAACCATCCTCTCAATGTATAACATAGAAACAATAGTCTAAATTCCCCATCTCATACTGTTAATGTGGATGAACATGAATGTTCTTTCTTGATCTAAAGTTAAATATGCATCAAGTAATGAATAATCATTAAGAAAGTGGAATTCACTGTACGATTGACTAACATAGTCGTGTGTTTATTAATCCCTTTCCAATACTGATGATACAAGGCATCAACGAAAAGGTAATCGTGTCCTGCTCCGCCGGTGTCACCCATCACAAACACATTCACGCACAGTACTAAAATTTATGGTCAAAATAAGGATTTGTATCAGACATCATTTATGTCACTGATGCATCAAATTTGAAAATGACCTCCAAATGTACATATACACCTGGTGGAGCTCCGAGGTAACATACACATATACACCTGGTGGAGGTCCGAGGTTGCATACACATGTAAACCTGGTGGAGGTCCGAGGTAACATACACATATATACCTGGTGGAGGTCTCAGGTAACATACACATATACACCTGGTGGAGGTCTCAGGTAACATACACATATATACCTGGTGGAGGTCTTAGGTAACATACACATATACACCTGGTGGAGGTCCGAGGTAACATACACATATATACCTGTTGGAGGTCTCAGGTAACATACACATATATACCTGGTGGAGGTCTCAGGTAACATACACATATATACCTGGTAGAGGTCTCAGGTAACATACACATATATACCTGGTGGGGGTCCGAGGTAACATACACATATACACCTGGTGGAGGTCTCAGGTAACAAACACATATAAACCTGGTTGAGGTCTGAGGTAACATACACATATATACCTGGTGGAGGTATCAGGTAACATACACATATATACCTGGTAGAGGTATCAGGTAACATACACATATATACCTGCTGAGGGTCCGAGGTAACATACACATATACACCTGGTGGAGGTATCAGGTAACATACATATATATACCTGGTGGAGGTATCAGGTAACATACACATATATACCTGGTGGAGGTATCAGGTAACATACACATATATACCTGGTGGTGGTCTCAGGTTACATACACATATATACCTGGTGGAGGTCTCAGGTAACATATACATATATACCTGGTGGAGGTCTCAGATAACATACACATATATACCTGGTGGAGGTCTCAGGTTACATACACATATATACCTGGTGGAGGTCTCAGGTTACATACACATATATACCTGGTGGAGGTCTCAGGTTACATACACATATATACCTGGTTGAGGTCTCAGGTTACATACACATATATACCTGGTGGAGGTCTCAGGTAACATATACATGTATACCTGGTGGAGGTCCGAGGTAACATACACATATATACCTGGTGGAGGTATCAGGTAACATACACATATACACCTGGTGGAGGTCCGAGGTAACATACACATATACACCTGGTGGTGGTCTTAGGTAACATATACATATACACCTGGTGGAGGTCCGAGGTAACATACACATATACACCTGGTGGAGGTATCAGGTAACATACACATATACACCTGGTGGAGGTCCGAGGTAACATACACATATACACCTGGTGGTGGTCTTAGGTAACATATACATATACACCTGGTGGAGGTCCGAGGTAACATACATATATATACCTGGTGGAGGTTTCAGGTAACATACACATATATACCTGGTGGATGTCTTAGGTAACATACACATATATACCTGGTGGAGGTCTCAGGTAACATACACATATATAACTGGTGGAGGTCTTAGGTAACATACACATATATACCTGGTGGAGGTCTCAGGTAACATACACATATATACCTGGTGGAGGTCTCAGGTAAGATACACATATACACCTGGTGAAGGTCTCAGGTAACATACACATATACACCTGGTTGAGGTCTCTGGTAACATACACATATATACCTGGTGGAGGTCTCAGATAACAAACACATATACACCTGGTGGAGGTCCGAGGTAACATACACATATATACCTGGTGGAGGTCTGAGGTAACATACACATATATAACTGGTGGAGGTCTGAGGTAACATACACATATACACCTGGTGGAGGTCCGAGGTAACATACACATATATACCTGGTGGAGGTCTTAGTTAACATACACATATATACCTGGTGGAGGTCTTAGGTAACATACACATATACACCTGGTGGAGGTCCGTGGTAAAATACATATATATACCTGGTGGAGGTTTCAGGTAACATACACATATATACCTGGTGGAGGTCTTAGGTAACATACACATATACACCTGGTGGAGGTCTTAGGTAACATACACATATACACCTGGTGGAGGTCCGAGGTAACATACATATATATACCTGGTGGAGGTCTTAGGTAACAGATACATATACACCTGGTGGAGGTCCGAGGTAACATACATATAAATACCTGGTGGAGGTCTTAGGTAACATACACATATACACCTGGTGGAGGTCTGAGGTAACATACATATATATACCTGGTGGAGGTTTCAGGTAAGATACACATATATACCTGGTGGAGGTCTCAGGTAATATACACATATATACCTGGTGGAGGTCTCAGATAACATACACATATACACCTGGTTGAGGTCCGAGGTAACATACACATATATACCTGGTGGAGGTCTTAGGTAACATACACATATACACCTGGTGGAGGTCTCAGGTAATATACACATTTACACTTTTGAGTAAATGAGGAAGGGAGGGATTATGGAACGTCATGTTACAAGGCAGAAACTACTGACAGGCCACACGGCTAATGTGCAAGTCTGTGTGGACAGTAGACACCATTGTTCATTGTTTATATCACTGGTCTTATCATTTCTTAATTACAAGAAACATAAATGATGTTAATGACATTTTACATTGTTATTTACAGACACAGTTCATTCATTAACTTCAAGATATTTGGCATTTGGTGTACACACGGAGCTAGTTATGTTCAAACAGGCATATAAAATACATAAAGCGTTAATGCCAGGGAATAACCATTTCGGTTATCATTGAACAACACTGAACAAAGGGTCCAACTGAACAAACCATGAACAAAGGGAACAACTGAACAAACACTGAACAATGCGACAAACTGAACAAACACTGAACAAAGAGACCAACTGGACAAACACTGAACAAAGGGAACAACTGAACTAGCAATGAACAAAGGGAACAACTGAACTAAGGGAACAACTGAACAAACACTGAACAAAGGGATCAACTGAACTAACACTGAACAAAGGGAACAATTGAACAAACACTGAACAAAGGGATCAACTGAACTAACACTGAACAAAGGGAACAATTGAACAAACACTGAACAAAGGGAACAACTGAACAAACACTGAACAAAGGGAACAATTGAACAAACACTGAACAAAGGGAACAACTGAACAAACACTGAACAAAGGGAACAATTGAACAAACACTGAACAAAGGGAACAACTGAACAAAGGGAACAGCTGAACTAAGGGAACAACTGAACAAACACTGAACAAAGGGATCAACTGAACTAGCACTGAACAAAGGGATCAATTGAACAAACACTGAACAAAGGGAACAACTGAACTAACACTGAACAAAGGGAACAATTGAACAAACACTGAACAAAGGGATCAACTGAACTAACACTGAACAAAGGGAACAATTGAACAAACACTGAACAAAGGGATCAACTGAACTAACACTGAACAAAGGGAACAATTGAACAAACACTGAACAAAGGGATCAACTGAACTAACACTGAACAAAGGGAACAATTGAACAAACACTGAACAAAGGGATCAACTGAACTAACACTGAACAAAGGGATCAATTGAACAAACACTGAACAAAGGGATCAACTGAACTAACACTGAACAAAGGGAACAATTGAACAAACACTGAACAAAGGGATCAACTGAACTAACACTGAACAAAGGGATCAATTGAACAAACACTGAACAAAGGGAACAACTGAACAAAGGGAACAGCTGAACTAAGGGAACAACTGAACAAACACTGAACAAAGGGATCAACTGAACTAGCACTGAACAAAGGGATCAATTGAACAAACACTGCACAAAAGGAGCAACTGAACAAAGGGAACAGCTGAACTAAGGGAACAACTGAACAAACACTGAACAAAGGGATCAACTGAACTAACACTGAACAAAGGGAACAACTGAACAAACACTGAACAAAGGGATCAACTGAACTAACACTGAACAAAGGGAACAATTGAACAAACACTGAACAAAGGGATCAACTGAACTAACACTGAACAAAGGGAACAATTGAACAAACACTGAACAAAGGGATCAACTGAACTAACACTGAACAAAGGGAACAATTGAACAAACACTGAACAAAGGGATCAACTGAACTAACACTGAACAAAGGGAACAATTGAACAAACACTGAACAAAGGGAACAACTGAACAAAGGGAACAGCTGAACTAAGGGAACAACTGAACAAACACTGAACAAAGGGATCAACTGAACTAGCACTGAACAAAGGGATCAATTGAACAAACACTGCACAAAAGGAGCAACTGAACAAAGGGAACAGCTGAACTAAGGGAACAACTGAACAAACACTGAACAAAGGGATCAACTGAACTA